TTTTTCTAGATTTTGAAGCTTTTTTTCTAGATTTTGAAGCAGAACGAGCTATACTTTGACTGAGATCTCAATATTGCAATTCTTCCAGGGGTGTGGTGTAAAAATAAATGTTTCAAAACGTTAGCTAGAAATGATTCAAATGGTCTGAAAAAGATTTTTAGATGGTTGCTAAAAAACATTTTTTTTTTCAGTCAAGACCGTCACAAGGGTGGGCCAGGGTTCCAGGGGTGTGGGGTAAAAAATTAATGTTTCAAAAAAAGTTAGCTAGAAATGATTCAAATGGTCTGAAAAAGAATTTTAGATGGTTGCCAAAAGCCATTTTTTTTTTTAACTTGGAGCTCTTATTTAAAAAAAAATAGACTTTTCAGCTATTTTAGTCGGTTTTAGTCTGTTTTTAGTCGATTTGACCCTAGCTTAATCGACTCGAAATTGCATGATTCGTGCTCATTTCATAACCCTAACATCCTGCGAGGATCAGAAAAAAATAGTTGATCGACTATAACGCTCAGCCCTTATTATATTAGTTATCTTAGGACATCTTTGTTTAAATTAGACTGAACAATTGTATTAAAATTATTATTTTTTTTTATCCCAAATTACTATTTTATTCAAACTTTCCCAAATCAAAATAAATCAAATCACTGTATGTATATCATAATAAATAGGTTGGAAACAATGAACCGCTAAATTTACATTTAACCTTTTGAAAATGCAGCAAAAAATTACAGGGTAAATACCAGTTTATGTTTGTGCTCACAATCGATGAAAGTTTGATTTTGAAACGGTGGATATTCTCTCAATTTGTAATGTTGATTTAAGTTTTATTTACACACCTTTCACAATTTAGACAAATAAACAACAATAGTAATTATAATTAATTCAATTTGGCTCCTATACTGCTTAATTATTACATAATACCCTGAAAATTACTTTTGATACCATAAACGTGTTGTTTCTGATTTATATTTTTTAATCTAATGGAAAACCAATATTGTTATTTAACGAGTTAAAAGGATCTCTGAAAATTGCTCGCGGAATAATTTATAGACGCAATCGTGAATCGGTGAGGCTTTTATAAATTATTGGCGAGTCGCCATCATAATGGTGTGAGCGCATTTTTCGGGCCAACTCTCTTCCGGCGCCGTCTGTGATAAAAATTACTGCGCCTGTGGGAAAGTAGGACGCGCGGCTGACCGACGCGAGTGTGGCAAATATTAATTCCGCTCGGCGAGAAGCAAATCCCGCTCAAAGGGAAGCGACCAACAACGGCGGTTCGCCCTCCGACCTTTCGCTAAAAGCGGGCGGGCATCAAAGAGCCAAATTTCGCCGTCTGCCTTTTCGGCCGCTTTTCGCTTCATTATTTTCACTCGCCGCTGAAAGAAGACCACCTCCCTCTCTAATAACCGTGCCACTTGCAAGTTTATCACATTTTTATGGAAACGCTAAAAACGCGCGTCTCTTTTTATTTTAATTTCGCACTTGGCGCCATCCTCGCTGCGTGAAAAATTATTCATTTCGACTAACTTAGCACGTGAATATCCCCCAATATTTTCGGGCACGATTTTCAAGGGTATATTATTATTTGCATGTTTTATTATCTTATTATTGTTTTAATTTTATTGTGTTTTCTGCGCATAACTAGTAGTTAATATGTAAAGCGTTTTGCTGGAATTAAATTTTTAATCACCGCCAGAAAATATTTCTAAAATCGACCACAAGAATCACGCATTAACAATTATAGCAAATGTGGTGATTGTTGCTCAAACAACAATGACTGTTGCAATGCATTGTTCGGCCTATCAGTGTTTATAAGCCGATTTTTTTAGCACATTGTTCAGTGCACTGGCCAGCCCAGTGGGTGAGAGCTCGCGCGATAGGACTCTCAGGCTGTAAGGTACCTACAGACCTGAGAGATGGCCATGCCGGGTTCAAAACCCCACTGGGCTGGAGTTTTTCACATCTTTTTTTAGCTTCAATTTAATTCCAAATCACATTTACTTGTTAAAAAACTTGCGAAATGAGCAAAAAAAAATTAAATTAAAAAAAAATTACAAAATAGAATATTTTCTGGATACGATTTTTCAGGTCTAGATTTTCATGGGCATAATTATTATTTACATATTTTATTATCATTATTTTAATTTAACTGTGTTTTCTGCGCATAACTAGTAGTTAATATATAAAGCGTTTTGCTGGAATTAAATTTTTGATCACCGCCAGAAAAATTTCAAAATTCGACCACAAGAATCACGCATTTACAACAATTAGAGCAAATATTGTGATTGTTGCTCAAACAACAATGAGTTATCAACAGTTCGGCCTATCACTGTTGATAAGCCGATTTTTTGAGCACATTGTTCAGTGCACTGGCCAGCCCAGTGGGTGAGAGCTCGCGCGATAGGACTCTCAGGCTGTAAGGTACCTACAGACCTGTGAGATGGCCATGCCGGGTTCAAAACCCCACTGGGCTGGAGTTTTTCACATCTTTTTTTTAGCTTCAATTAAATTCCAATTCACATTTACTTGTTAAAAAACTTGCGAAATGAGCAAAAAAATTTAATTAAAAAAAAATATTCAAAAGAATAATATTTTCTGGGCACGCTCTTTCAGAACTCGATTTTCATGGACACGCTATTATTTCCTTGTTTTTTTATCATGTTATATTGTTGTTTTAATTTTACCAATATTTCCATCTTAATTTTCAACAGTTTTCAGTGCATTTTTTAATTAAATTTTTATTTATCTACCTTAAAAGCCTAAAAAGTGAAAGCCATTGTTTGAGATTTTTGTAACGGAAAATAAGAAAAAAAAATTATCAAAAATTTTGCTTATAGAGCAAAAATTTTACATTTACTTGATCTTTTAATAAGAATAAAAAAATAAAAATTTCTTAAAAGATTTATTTTCTTATTTTAGAATTTCTGTCAAATGAAAAACACGACTTCTAAGCAATGCGTAAGACTGTTTTCTGACAAATTAATTTCTGATGAATAACGGCGACTCAGTGAATTGCTCAAGAGAATACTCAGCCCCGTCTTCACTTTAATCCAAATTAATTCATAACCAACAGCCTGCCGAATTTACCGCGGCGCCATAAATTCGCGCGAGTTAATTACTCAGAATTAATTTAAATTAATTGGTAGGTGCGCGTCGTCTGGGAAGAGCCTCACCTGCTCCGGCATGCAAGGTGTGTTGCGGTTTTTCGACCAGGCGGGGGGGATAAAACAGCGCCGGGAGGCTGCAAACTTTATATCCTCGCTCGGCTATTGTGTCACGTTTTTCTCTTCTTACGCCCATGATCATCAAGGGGATAAGGCGGTGGTGCGAGTGGAAAGCCCTGTTCTATTATACAACACCCCAGATGCGTATACATAAATGCGGGAGGCGCTCTTCTTTGATTGTTCGCCGCGTCACGCTTCTCTCTATATATTTATTTATCATTTCCGCATTTAATGCGAGTTACCGCTGCTTTTTTTTTTTGCCCTCGGCAGTCATTTGCGATTCTGTTTGATTCAAGTAGGTCAGCGCATTGATCTCGCTGAAAAAATAACGCAAAAGTTTAGGCGAATTTCCATCCCTCCACCTTCCGCACACGGTACATAAATTGGACCGCCCGGCGCCGCACAAAGGGACAGAAAATCGTTTCCCGGTCTGCAACCGCGCTTCCTTCTGATCGTTGCATTAAAAAAAACGAATAAGCTCGTCTTCTGCCCCAATCGACGAGGTTGCAGATAAATCTTGCAGATGAAAGATAATTCCAAAATAAACGTCCCCTTTTATTAAATTTGGAAGGCAAAAGCTAAAAAAAAAATGTTTCTTATGTAAGTGGTTAAAATTATTTTCTTTTTACTGTTTTTTTTTCTGTATTATTTTTATTTTCAATTTAATTTGATCTTTATATTGATAGACTTGATGAACTTTAATCTTTGACCACAATAAATTGATTTCATGAAATATTCAAGAGGGGATTTTGGAAGTATTTGCAGAAATATGCGGCTCAAATTGGGAGCTCATATAATACAGACATCAAATAAAATATAAGCCTGTCTTTCAACAAATTCCTCTCTGAACCCTCTTTCTTGCCTTACTACTTTACATATTGATTCCCGACTGCGAAGTGCGCGACGATGGCTTTGCTGGAAAAATGTAGAATTGCGAGTCGCACGCCGTGCATGGTTATGCATGATGATAAAATCGATAAAGTAGCACGCCTCGGCCGTTTGTCCCGCGTGCCTCTCTGCTGCGGGCGGGCGAATGTTCCATCAGACGAGAAAAACGCCAATTCCACTCTTTTCAGATCTTTTCCCCCTCGGGTTCAACTCTTTGAAAAAAAGAAAACCTGACGAGGCGGCGTAATTAACATTACGGCTAATAACTCTCCTCGGTGTGATGAATTGGCCTAAAGAAGAAGCCCGACGGCTGTTTGTCTTCAGAATCTCTGATGGCAGAGCAAACATCCATCCCTCTCTGCAATAAAAAGCCAAGTTTTTGCGACCGCATTTCGTCACCCGCGCCCTCAAAATTTCACCGAGATTCTTCCGATCCGAGTGAAACTTTTGATCCGCGCCTCATCCCGCCGTAAAAGAGCTCTGATTAACTTATTTAGTGTTCCTTTAAGGTGCAATATATATATTCGGCCGGTTGCTAGGAGACGCACGGTGGTCTGATATAGGTCTTTATGGCAGTAGCAGCAGCTGAGGGAGGCCCGGGGTGCGCGACAAGGAGGCTCAAGCCGCACCCTTTCCGACTCGAATCGCACCCGACGGATTTTCCTGGCTCACATTTCCTGACCAAAGCTGGTCCGCAATCTAAATGGGTGGAAAAATTGCAAAATTAAAAAAAAAATTAAATTTATAAAGGAAACGAGAGGAGTGAAAAATAAGAGGGAGGAAACCTGGGTGAATTCGCCTCGGCGGCCCGGCCATGGCTGCGCACGCGTTGTGACGAGGGTGTGCCTGCCAATGTGAGGGGGCGAATGCAAAAAGCAGCAGCATAAGCACTTAGCCGCCGACTGGTGTGCATGTCGTGTCCGACACCATGGCATGGGGATACTGGAGTGCTACCGTTGTGACCGACAAGGGCCGCTCGCCCCGTAAGCAATCCACGTCGCGGCTCAGCTCGTCAAACTTCCAGCGGCGCGCCTCCTTCCGCGACCCGCTCTCGCTCTCCTCGTCCAGGGAATTCACGCTCCACTCGGTCCCTGGGCCCAGCAATCACGCCCACCACGCGCCCACCGTCTCCTCGGTGGTGCACAACCATGCGGCCGAGTGTCCGGTGGCGATCGCGGCCGCCGAGGCGGCCCACAGCGGCACGTCCTCCAGTCTGGGCCACTACCCGCCGCCGCCGATGCTCCACCACCACCACCACCACATCCAAGCGGCCTCGGCGCCCGTTTCGCCGTCTCCGACGCCCGCACCGACCCGTGAGAATTCACCAGTACCGTCCCCGGGACACACCTCGGAGGACGAGGTGGAAATTATCCTCGACGAAGGTAAATATTTGCCTCGGGCTCGGATTGAGCAAATTTGTTTAGCGCCCCAAGCTCGGCTGACGTTGACCACCGACCCAAAGTCAAACACGTTTTTATTGATTAGCTACAATTAATTTATTCTGTTTAACAAGACAGAAAGTAGATTGGGGGCTGCGGAGTCGTTATTAGATGATAAAAATATGCAGTAAAAACATGATAGAAGCCAAACGCACGCTTCTGTTTAAAAGCTTGATATTCATTTATTGAAGGCGTATTTATTTATAAATATTATTCATTAATACATTATAATGAATTATATAATTTATTCAAATTGTATTTATATAACAGTTACAAAATAACATGCAAAAAAGTAATATAAATCAATGTCATGCCTAAATGAAGGCAAAAAAATCTAAGTGCTTTTCAATTGTGGATTTGTCCTCTGTTGCTGACAAATCTAAAAAATAAAAATGTTCGCGCAGTAGATGAAATTTAAAGTTAAATTGCATGTTTCCGTATATAATTTTCTTTCAAAAACTGGAATTATTTATTCTAGAATAAAATAATAAAATATAATTTAAATAATGTTCTCAAAATCTTGAACTCTCTGTGCAACATTTTGATATAATTTAAAATGATTTAAACTTGGGAACAATGAATCCAGTTCTGATTACGAACTTCAGGGGATCCAAAACCCCCACATTAATGAACCGTATATTATATAAGATCAACGAGTGTGATAATCTTTATCAATTCCCATAATTACTTCCACAAAACTTATTTGTCAAAACCTATATACTACGTCAAGAGGCCAGATAGTATAGAAAACGTAATTCAGCGCAAATTGAGATAAGCTCGCCCCCCTTCTCGCGTATCCAACATACACACTCGCACAAATCAATCACAAAAGCCATAAATTACGCGCGCCGCCCTTATTTACCTCCAGCATACCAAATATATTCACCAACATTTGATTTATCGCACGTTTTTCCACGACGCAGTGAAAATTGCGGTGTAGTATTTGTTTACTCCTGATAAGTAGAAGGAAATAGCTGCCGAAACACACACGGGAAATCTCGAGAGATGTATAAAGGAGAGAAAACGGCGGGGATGTTTGTTTGTCGCGTGAGTTTAACTGAAAGCGTCATATCTTATTTAGGGAGTAAAACGCGCCGAGTATTGTGCGAAATGTAACCTTGGCGGAGGAAAATGTGACGACGCTGGAGAGAGGACGGAATAATTGATGAGCAAGATGAGACAAAGCTGCGCGAGTGCGTCTCTCTCATTAGTTCGGCGGCAGCTCTCTCTAATCCTCAAAACCCTTTCCTTTTGGCGCGTGTCGATCGCGCCAAAGACACACGTCTCTGTTTAATTGAAATCGCGACAAGGCGCGCTCGGATTAAAAGATTGGCGCCGCCAACGTGGTAATATGGAAGTTTCTCTGACTTTGAATCGCGCCGAACAAGTCAGATATTTGATTAACAATATTAAAGCTCCGCGCAAATCCCTTTATAAGCCGATTATTTTAAATAGACCGGAACCGCCGCCGCCGCCTTTGTTAATCGAACGCGCAGTTTGTTTGCAATTTCAAGCGACTTGATTTTGATCGCGGAAAACCCGCGCGGAAAATCCGGCTCATAATTCACCCGCAGTGGAGAAAGAAAGCAACACACGTTCCACAGTTTGTGTTTTCCACTGTCGGCGTGCGTGGGGGCCGCACGTGGTTTCCTTCTCACCATAAAATTAATGGTTTTGATTTTGATAACAACGCATCTGCGTCGTTCTCCCCAGATGGCCCAGATTATTTATTACTGAACTGATCAAAACGCAACGGCGCGACGTCAGATAATAAATTATTATTTTTATTGTTGTTTATTTGTAAAAAATTGTTATATCAAATTGTTGGAAACAATTTATTTGAAAAGAAATGAATTTTTGGACAAAACGGTACCACCACTAGCAACTTCTGAGATCAAAAAGACCCCATCCGCCGCTGTGAGCCAGTGAACCAGAAATTTTGCTGATAATTTCCCAACACTTCACATTTGACAAACGAAAGAGCAAAATTGTCTGTATTTATTGTACAATAATTTAAATTTGAACTTTGAACAAATATTTATTAAAACTGGATATTCTCGTCATTCTATGAGAAAGCGAAAAGCATTAAATATGCTCTTATCATCTTGAAATTCTTAAACGAACTTAAATGAGGAAAACAAATTTAAATTTTTATTATTTAATAATTTTTTGTATTTTTTCAATAATACATAAATAATAACCTTTTATAGAAATGTTGATGTTTCCTCGTAAATTCTCCACGGCCGTATGTTTCATTCGGGGATTATTTCCATTCCTCGCGCGTCGTATTCGTAAATCAATAGTCCGTCTGTGTATTGATATGTGAAAGCAATTTGCTGGGGCCAAACAAAAAGATCAAGTTGCCCGCTCCGAGGGATATCACTCTCCATATTGATTTCCGCACCCGTCCTCGTCGCAGCCCGAGCAACATAAATTACATTTTGACGCGTGCGAATCGCACCTTTTTTTCCCTGCCTCCACTTTGACCTCGACACTTTTCTCATTCGGCCGCCGCCGGGGAAGACGAGAAAAGCGGCCACTCGGTGCTGTGTATAATTTTTGGCCAGCTTCCATCTCGGCAGGGATTGTGGCCACGCATCTTTTTACATGGAGCTCTCTCTCATATTGATTTCTTTACTGCGGTATACTCTAGTAGAATAGGGCACACGACGACTAGCCAAAGAATAAACACATCTCTCTGGTTTTATTAAAGCTGCAGGTCGAGTGCATTAGATTGCCCGAAGGCGATGACAAAGAGCGGCTTCATTTGCAACGCTCTCTCGCGTCTTCAACGTCCGAATGGGAATTAACTCGGATCAATATGGCACACTGGTGCTCACTAGCAAAACTACTATTTACAAGCCGCGCACTTTGCGGAGGGCAATTTGAACCGTAATTTCCTCGCAACGCAAAACTCATCATGGACGCGGGGCGATTCTTGCCAATTGCCATCCCTGCTCTTTTATCTCGTGATGACGCTGATGATTCTGGAAAATGAGATTGTGGTTTTTGCAAACAAAAACTTGTGTTTTTTGCCAGTACAAAGTGTTTTTATTTTCTAAAAATGTCCACAATTTGATACAGTAATTATGAGATGAAAAATGAGGTCGTCCTCGCTGAAAATTTCATATTTCCGCGTTTTGTTCATTTCTTTTTGGTAATCCAAATAAAAAGCAGACAAAATGATACAAAATTTGATTATATCAAAAAAAGCGGGCCTTTGAAAAGAATAAATTTCTATACAAATTACAATCTAAACTTTAAATTTTAAATTTCTTTTCAAAATTAAGCTTTGCTATATGAAAACAATGAGTTTATTTTCTCTCCTTCTTTCTATGGAGTGAAACATGTGCTACATAAGTCACTCAAGCAGACTTTTCTCACGACTTATGCTCCTCTTTTTGCTCACTATTCATCGCCATATCGTTGCGAAAGTCCTTGTCAACATGCAGTTGCTCTACTTGCGGCACTCGAGCATTGTCAAGTGACTCGTCCATACAGCCCTGGGCTCTTCACTATTTACGCGCCAGTGACGTCAGAAGCGCCTGTTTTTTCCCCCAGTGGATCCATTCACTGCAATTACAGCCGTAAAAATCGCAATTAAAACGATTACTTGTGCATATATTCATAGTTGTATATCTGACATGAATGGCCCCCGTTGTTGTTGTTGATGCGAGGCGTTCGTTTTGTTGCATTGTTTTTGCTGGAAATCATTAAGGAGATAGGCAACCAGTTGAGCAGTCGCGATTAGCGCATTGCATAGCTCGCAATCTCGCAGGGGCTTTGTAACGCGATCGTATTTATCTGGCAGCCGTACTTTTTTTTTGCACGGTCGAGTCAATGCACCTGGGAGAGCCTTTTGACAGCTTTTGTGCCGGCGCTCTTTGAAGTCGAGATAAAGAAGAAAAAACTGTCCGCCGTGGAAATTCTGTGTTGAAAGAGAATTAAGGAAGTTCAAAGGTCAGTCCTTTCTTCTCTCTCTCTCGGTACTGCTTTCTTTAATTTATATATTTCATCCAAAGTCCCCTGGTCGAATTTCCCTCATCCGCAGAAACTAATTCCGGAAAGAGGCTTCACCTCAACGGGCCTTTCCGCCTGTCTGCCCCGCCGTGAAAGGGACCAGTCGAGTCAGATGTGACAGAGCGAAAGGGTGAAATCTAAACAGAACAGTCTTTTTGAAAGGCAAAAAGAATCCGTTTTTAAAATTAAAGGCTTGACAAGGAACAAAATTTGGTTTTAATGAAAATTCAGAAAAAGTGTAAATATTTCATGTGTAATTGAGATCTTTTAAATTCCAAAAAAGACTAATTGAAAATTGTGTAACTGTGTAAAAATAAGAGTGAAATTTAATGAGTTGGAATGGTTACTCTAAAAGATAGTTTCATAAAAAAATTTCTTCTAAAAGAAAAAAAAACAGCAGGTTTGCATTGTTTTAGATCCCTTTAGAAAAAAATTAGCTATTCAAAACCTAAAGTTTCAAAACATGAAAGTTCTTTTAGAACTATTTTTTTTTTTTTTTTTTATTGCTTAACGTGGATCAAAATTTAATTTTTTAAATTAAATAAAGGGAAGAGTTTTGAAACATTTTTGCATGAATATTTCCAGAAAATTGATCAAACCTAGATTTTGTGAATTATTCGTCCTTTTATTGCGGCTAGGTCGTTAGTCGGTGACCCAAAAACACGAAAAAGCGCTATAAATTTGGCATCACCCGGCACGTCTCGCAGGTATCGTATTATCATACCCCACGAGAACGAGCCACTTATACAGCGCGACAACTTTTTATGCGCGCACTCGCCGTCCCCTGAGTGGCTCGTAAATCAGTCCACTCGCGCGTTCGCGCCAAATTTCGTTCGCCGCTTTAATAAATGGCTGGCAAGAGGGGGTGCCGAACGAACCAAGTTGTTGACATGGACGCGAATTTCCGCGAGTAAACACACACA